ATATATCAGACAGTGTTTCACTGCTGTTCATAAGGTTTTCACTGGCCAGTTCTTTGAGAAGTGGATTGTCTCTTCATTCATCCAAGTCTGTCTTAGTCTGGAAGCTCCTCTGAAATCTGTCTACCATGGGTGACACTGCTAGTATTTGAAATACTGGTGGCATAACCTTTGGCCTCACAGCAACACAGCAGCCACCACAGTACAACAAACTGACAGACGAGTGGTGGTTTTTGCCCATAGAACCCTTCACTATTATAGCTTGAAGTTTGAGGAACTAGCACAGGGGCAGATATGTATAGGAAATAGTATTGTTTATAAGAGAACTTGGAAGACATTGTAGTGTTTTCAGCAAGGGAGAAATCACTTTGAGTGACATAGTGGTAATAAATTGGAAAGGACCAAGTGGAGGTTAGACTTTTGTTAATATTATCATTGTCATCATTTATAGCAACTAACATTTATTATTATTAGGCCCAGTGGTGCAGTGGTTAAGCTCTTGGCTGCTAACTGAAAGATTGGCAGCTTGAACCCACCATTTGTTCTATGGGAGAAAGATGTGGCAGTCTGCTTCCATAAAGATTTACAGTCTTGGAAACCCTGTGGAATAGTTCTGTTCTTTTCTATAGGGTCACTGTGAGTAGGAATCGACTTTGTTACCTCAGTTTGTTTTTTTGGTTTAGTGAGGCATCTGGTGGCAGGATGAGATGCAGCAGGCTGGCCACAAATGTACTTGTACTGGCTAACAGGCCAGTTCTAAAGTTTTCACTTTAGAGTTCTGAAGAACCTTTAGATTCCAGTGTGCAAGGCTCAGTGTCTTTCTCTTACTGGAGCTCAGGTCCAGGCTCATTCTGTGAGGGTCATTTTGTTATTCTCATATGTAACCTTGTAATGACTACACCTCATCCCTCATCTGCCTGTTATTACAGTGAATCTCCATACTGTGTATTGCGCAAATACCAACTGGAGACAGAATACTGGAATAGTTAAATGCTTGGTAAGAATTTCCCTTACACATCGTACTGTCTTTTGATCTTGCCCAGGATACCTCTTACTCAGCCTTGGTTTCCTTATCTGTACGACTGGGATAGTAAAATCACTCAAGTCATAGGATTATAAACAAACTCCAGACTCACTGCCGTCGAGTCGGATCTGACTCATAGTGACCCCTCCTTGGTTTTCCGAGGCAGTATCACTACAGAAGTAGTTTGCCCAATCTTCCTTCCAAGGAGTGGCTGGTGGGTTTGAACTGCCAGCCTTCTGGTTAGCAGTCAAATGCCTTAGGCATTACACCACCAGAGCTCCTGATAAGTCTTGTCTAGCACTCAGCACACTGTCTGGTGCAGAATTAGTACTTAATAGATATTTGCTATTATTATTATTAGGGTATAGGAGCCATGGTAAAAGTTCTGGTGGAATATTGGTTAAAGCATTTAGCTGCTAACCAAAAGATCGGTAGTTCGAATGCACTACCTGCTCCACAAAAGAAGGATGAGGCATACATAAAGATTTACAGCCTGGGAAACCCAGTGGGGTTGCTATGAGCTGATGGCAGTGAATTTAGTTTTGGTAGTTTTGAGACGCTCTGGTGGTACAATGTTAAAGCCCTAGCCTGCTAACTGAAAGGTTTATTGTTTGAACCTATCAGCTGCTCCACGGAGAAAGATGTGGCAATCTACATATATAAAAGTTATAGTATTAGAAAACCTATGGGGCATACTTCTCTGTCCTATAGAGTCAGTGTGAGTTGGAATCAATGCTACAGCAATACCTCTGGTTTTTGGTTATTATTAGGACAGTGTCTGCAAAGACTTAAGCGTGTTTATGGACACAGTTTATGGGAAGGAGCCAGCTCAGGGGCAGAGATTGGACCTGTGAGGGAGAGGGTACCACAGAGAAGGTACTATATCCTAGAGAAGCAAGGATGGCATGGGATCAAAAGATCACATTAATATATTGTTTTTCAAAAGCACAGGGAACCTAGTGGAGGTGGTAGAAGGGATATTTTTTTGAAGTTGATCCATACCAGTTATGGTGGTCTACTGGGAGAGAAACTGAGGAGAGAGATGATGACTTAGAAGGCTGCTGCAGAACCCTGGAGATAGGAACATATAAAGGGATTGATAAATAGTATTGAGATACTGAGCTTGCACATCATAAATTTATAATGACACTAGTCTGCATGTTTTTAGTTTTTCTTGACTGTATTATATTAGCCGAATTATGAGATTAAAAAAAAGTTAACATTGATGTAAATTTTAGGAGATTGCAGGGCAGATATCAGTAAGGTGTCTGGAGACTTGGGAGCAGGAGTAAGGTGAGTCAAGTGGTCACCTGTTGACATGACTGCAGAGGCCTGTTTGTTCTGGGCAGGGTATATGTCTTGTATAGTCTTGGGGACCATGTAGAGTAGTGAAGATACATAGGTTCTTCAGATGACAGTTCCTCCCTACTATTCCTAACACTAATTCCTTGTGTTGATAAATGAAATATTATGACCAATTGCTAAAAGGATTTTACTATTCTTTTTTTATGGTACAACCCCAAAAGTAAAATAATTTTAGTATTTAGTTTTAAAGTTACCAATGATTTCATGTGGTATGCTAAATCAATAAGTAACGGATTGTGATCCTTAACATTGGGTAAAGATTATTCTCATAATAATGGAGAGATTTTATTTTTATTTATTACTTCTGAGGAACTTAACATTTCAGCTATATTGAGAACTTTAAAAATAAACGTATATGTAGGAGAGAATTTATAAATACATCTCATGTGTTTGTAATTAAAATAGCTTGTCTTTGAGGTGGAATTCCCCCATGGTCTGGGTGTGGTCTGTCTGAACTTTAATAGTTATTTTTCCTTTCATTTTTGTTTGGAGCATAGTGAATCTGAAAGCAGTAACATTTGCTCACTTACTGAACATTTGAGGGTCTTCCATGTTTCAGGCAATGGGTAAGGTGTCAGAAGAAAGTTAATGCACAAAGATGGTACCTGTCTGGAGCTTCAGGGTCTCTGTCAGCATCATGGCCACAGTGGGGTACATGCAGCCTTGGGCTCACCACAGACCATTGGTAGCAGGAAGAAAATATTAGAACTTGTCTTTTAACCTCTATTTTAAATGACTGTGTGTTTTATGTTGTTGTTACTTGCTGTTGAGTTGATTCCGACTCATGGCTATACCACATGTTACAGAGTAGAACTGCTTAGTAGGAACTTTTTGATAGTATTCTTAAGGGAAATAGATTGCCAGGCCCATCTTTCTGCAGTATTGCTGGGTGGGTTTCAGACTTCATCCTTTAGGTTAGCAGTTCAGCACAAACCATTTAGGTTTTTGTGTATGTTATGACACATATATTAGAATGTACATGTCTGTACTATGTGGATAACATCCATACTGTATTTTTTTGCATAAAATTCACCAAACATATAATATTTATGAAATAACACACATACACATGGGGTGTGTTTGTGTGTGTTGCATGGTTGGCAAAAACAAAACCCCATACAATGTGCGTTATTTGCGTAAAAATACGTTACATTTGGGGGTATACTATTTTATTAATAGGGTGTGGGCAAAAAGTTTGAAGGCTACTACATGTTAATATGCATTTTTAAAATACACATTTTTGACAACTTTTTGTTTTATCATTTTGAGAAAACCAAGAGTTTCTGGGTGTGATTAAACCATGTTCTTACAATTTTATTTGTTGTAGACTTTTTATAGTATAAAGTCAGACTTATCATATAAAAAGACTCATTACTAAGATCTGACCTGAAAATTTATCATTTTTCTTTGTATTGGAAGAACTTTACTTTTTGTGGAATGATGTCCTTGTTTTGAAGCACCAAACCCTACTCTGTAATCTGTTGCGATGTTGAGGAATGTAGCATGGAGAACAGTAGATACCATATGCCTGTTCTACTTTTCAGTCTCATTCCAAAGTGTGACAACCCTTCTCTGTTTGTCCCCTCCCTACACATAACATGCCCTTTAACTGTTCTAAAGCAACAGGGTTGGGATGCCAAACTCAGATGCATCCCAAGAATTTCCCAGCCCCACCTATTTGCTCATAGAAGGTGTTTTCCCGATGTGAAATTTCTTGCTGACAGAGAACCATGAAATCCTTGCTTCAAAACGTTCTTTCCTCCCTTACCTCAAGAACTATTTTCCTAAAATCAGTTAGAAAAATTGTTAACAAGAACCTGTTTAAAATGAGGCATACTTTATAAATGCTTCTTAATAGTTTGTCTAGAGGCTTTTTTTTTTTTTCATTTTGCTTTTAGCCCTAGTTTCCTTGGGCTTCTGTAACAGTATGACATAGTGAGGGGCTAGAAACAACAGAAACTTACTCTTCCACAGTTCTGAAGGGTCTGAGGAAGAATCCTTTCTTACCTTTTCTCACTTCTGGTGGTTGGCTGAGAATCCTTGAGGTTCCTTAGTTTGCAGCTGTGTCACTCTGATTTCTGCCTTCCTCTTCACCTGACTGTTCATTTTGTGTGTGTTTGTGTCTTTCCAAATTTCCCTCTTCTTACAAGGACACAAGGAATCCTGTTGGTGCAGTGGTTAAGCACTCAGCTGCTAACCTAAAGGTATGGTTTAAACCCACCCAGTGGCTCTGTAAGAGAAAACCTGAGGATCTGCTCTTGTAAAGATTACAGCCTGGGAAACTTTATGGACCACATTCTAGTTTGTCACATTGGGTTGGCCAGTAGTAGGAATTAACTCCACAGCACCTAATGACAACAACACTATCAGGATACCAGTCATTGAATTTAGGGCCTACCCTAATCTAGTATGACCTCATTTTAACTTGATTATATCTGCAAAGGGCCCCATTTTCAAATGAGGGCTCAGTCATAGGTACCGGGAATTAAGGCTTCAGCATAGTTTTGTGGGTGTCATAATATAACACACTGCAATGATGAGTATGTATTTTAATTTATACTTCATATTTCCTCATTTCTAGCATTTTAACAAGATTTTACTTTTATCTTTGCAGGTTTGATGACAATTAGAAGCATGCTTTCCACTGAACTTCTGACACCATTTGTGATGCAGAATGTCTTTGAATGAGAACGAGGTTTTTGCCTATGAATCTTCAGTGCACAGCACCAATGTCTTGCTTAACCTCAATGACCAGAGGAAAAAAGATGTGCTGTGTGATGTCACTGTCTTTGTTGAAAGCCAGCGATTCCGTGCCCACCGGGCCATGCTGGCAGCGTGTAGCAGTTATTTCCAAGCAAGAATTGTAGGCCAGGCTGATGCTGAGCTTAACATTACTCTCCCAGAAGAGGTGAGAGATCCATACTTCTGGAAGTCATAATAATTTTAATTTAACTTGATCTTACATAGTTTATAAAATTAAAAATAAAACATGGTGTTTTTCTTGTCTGGCAGCTGAGGAACAGTTCCTAGGTTCAGCATTGATTGTTTCTTTTGCTTTTTAACAGAGATAATGACATTTTACATATAAAATCATTGTTAATTTTGGGTGTTAGGCAATAATATTTACTGAGCATTAACTCACCTGTTTTTATCAAAATGACCAAAGCAGGGTACACCTAGTGGATTATAGACACTTGGAAGGACCCTGTATTGAGGGGGGAGGCATGCCCTGTGCCATCCTGTCCCTGTGGACCTTATCTTCTGATAGGAGACTATTACTAGGTCTAAGCTTTTATAAATCATCCAAGACATGTCCTCATGAAAAGTAGGTGCTTTCTTAGTGTTAGTCCCTTTTTGTTCCCTTTCTTCCTTGAGATTGTCTTTATGCATTGGTAGAAAAAAAGATGATTTTGTGTTATATTTATAGAACTTTCTTTTAGCATGCATCTTTTCCTCACCAGCCTGTTCCTAAATGTTTAGATCCTTGTTTGTTAATGTACTAGCTCCAAGAGACCTCTCTTTTGGACCTGGGAGTGCTGCTCATACTCACTTTTACTAGAACAGCTTACTTTATTTTGTTAAGGAATTACTACTAGAAGAGTGTCAAGACTTGTGGCATCAGTGTACCAACTAAAAGTTAATAGAATTATTGGAGAAAGTCTGTAGAACTTCTTTGCATGATGGGTCTGTGTAGAATATTCTACTGTGAATACTGTGTTTACAGTGTACCTGTTTGCTAGCCAGGCCTGGTCCCATGAACTTGAAGCTACAGATTTGGGACTAGACAGATTGCTTGTAGCTTTTGTAGCAGAGGTCAGAGCAAATGATGTAAAACCCAGAAGATGATAAGGAAGGCCACTAAAGACTAGTCCTTGATTAATAAAAAGTGACAACACATACCATGATGGAGATAGACTTGTCATGATCCATATTGTTTTCAAATTACTTAATGAAACTTTCTAGGTAGGGCAAAGTTTGATACATGGAAACTGAAAGAAAGGTGTATGTATGCATTCATTCTCATTTGAAGTATAAATAGTAAGTTTTCAGACACTTAAACTGTTGCATGTTTCATCATAGTGACAGATTATACAACTTACAGTCTTAAAACTCCTTTTTTGCTAACTTTGACAAATTTTTGAAATATTTTAATTGAATTTTTTTGATAATAGATTCACAATGTAGTTGTAAGAAATAATACAGAGAGATCCCTTGTACACATTGCCCAGTTTCCCCGAATGGTAATATTTTGTAAGATTTTGAATAATACCAGAAATGGGATATCAGTATTGATACAATTCACTTATTCAGATTTCCTATGTTTTTTACTTATATTCTTATGTGTGTGTGTGGGCACGCTAAATTCTCTACAGTTTTATTGTGCATGAAGATTTGTGTATCCACAACCACAGTCAAGATACTGAACAGTTCTAACAACACACAGACCCCATTTATAACCATATTCACCTCCTTTCAACCTCCCTACCCTATTCCTAACCCCTGAAAACCACTATTCTGTCCTCTACTTCTAAAATTTTATCATTTCAGAAATGATACATAAATAGAATCATACCATGTTTGGTCTTTTGGGATTGGCTTTTTTCCACAACATAGTTTCCTTACAATTCATCTGATTTGTTGTGTATAGCAATAGTTTGTTCCTTTTGATAGGAGAGTAGTATTGCATGATTGTTTTTATAAGAAACTATTTGAACGAATAACTTCTTTTATTATTAGGATCAGCACAAAGCTGGTTATGAGGCAGAGCTTAAAGATACTGCAAATGTCTAACTTTTCCAAACTGCTGTACCACCCCATCATATCTAATATCAACTACTCCTCCACCCCTCAGTACTCTCCCTCCAACCTTTGAATTCCATAATTTGCTGCAACATCTTGTAGAACTCAGGAATCATCAAGGAATTGGTTCATGTGATTGTAGAGATTGGCAAGTCCCAAATCTATGTGTTAGGCATCTGGATGGAGGCGTCTTACTCAGCGTGGTTGCAAGGGTTGATGAACTCAAGTCAGCAAGTGATGACAGATAGCTGCCTCATAAGGCATCAGAAGCCAGCAGATCAGGTCAAGTGATAGGCTGCTGCCTTACGTTCCAAGAACTGAAGGGCAGGTGATGACTTGTGGCGTGCATGATCCAGAGCAAGAGAGAGAACTTTAACATCACAATCATACATTTTGAATGCAGACCGTACCCTAAAGGAAACTTCTCTTACTTGAGCAAGGTGGTGCAAGGGTGTAACTTGAATAAGGGTGGTAAGAGTGGTGACTGGCATAAGGGTGGTGACTTGAGTCACACCCTCTAGTAAGGCAATTACTCAATATACATCCCACCTTAATCCTGCCTCACTAACAACGGACACTCATTCCCAAATGGGACCATAACCACATGCATGTTGTTGTTGTTGTTATGTGCCGTCGAGTCGGACCCGACTCATAGCGACCCCTCCTTGGGTTTCCGAGGCAGTATCACTACGGAAGTAGATTGCCCCATCTTCCTTCCGAGGAGTGGCTGGTGGGTTTGAACCACCAGGCTTCTGGTTAGCAGTAAAGTGCCTTAGCCACTATGCTACCAGAGTTCCCAACCACATGCATAGAGGCTAGGATTTATAACACATCACAAAATGGAGGATAATTAACTCACAAAATGGAGGAAAATCACATCATTACATGGCTGTCAAACCACTGAAAATCATGGCCCAGCCATGCTGACATATAACCTTAACTATCAACAGGTTCCTTATACCTTATTTGTATACTGCCACCCAGTTGTTGTGTGGGAGTCACAAAGACTGTGGCTGGAAGTAAGTAAGTAAATATTAAGTAATTCATTGCACTGTAGGCCACCTCTTGGCTCTTCTACCCATTATCCTTTTTATACTTGAAGGACTAATTTTCTCTTTCCAATAATTTTACCAGTCCAAAACAGTCATTAACAATTAGTTCTTAAGTAGAGCAAAAGAGTCCCTAAGGTGAAGTTTCTCAGTTACCAGCCATTCAGGTTTATTGCAGGTATCCATCTGATCTGGTCACATTCTCCAGAAGTTGTCTTGGCTTCACCCTCTCTGGTTTCTGATAAAATTTAGCTGAGAGAAGATTATTTCCTTGCTTTGAGTTTCTTGTCATAGCAACGTAATATTAGATTTCTTCTGCTACATAACCCATTTGTTCCTTTACCTTGGATGTTATTTCTCCATTCCATTTGTCAATATATTTTTACCCAAACTTTTCTACCTTGGGAAGGAACATCAGATTCAGTGGTGCCAGTCCAGATTACTGGTAGCAAGACCAATCAAGCAAGCACTTCCCCCTCAGTCCATTCCCATTCATATTGGGTAAGATTACGTAGATATAATAGTGGGCAGTCATGACCAGTAAACAACATGGCTACATTCATTGTCAACTCCAATTTTGCCAGATGCAGGGAGGATACAGTTCATCCCATCAGACTCTTAGGAGTTCTGGCATAGAGATTCAGGGGTAAAGTTACAATCTCTTGCTTAGGCATCACCCCTGCTTTCGGTACCTGCAGCTGCATTCTTGGTCCTAGGACCGCAGCATCCAGCAGGAAAAAAACAATTTTAGGTGATATGGTTAAGAACTACAGTGACACTAGCATCCTTCCCCACCCCGGCCCCCAGATTCCCCAGAGAAATGTAGCAATCTGTCCAGTGATAATTTTTGTGAAGGCATGTGAGCCAGCCCTTCACGCCTTTATCTCCCCCCCCCCCATTTTAGACAACAAAATGTTTCAATTGCCCATTCCAATTCTCTGTCAAACCATTACTTTGAGGGTGATATGATACTTGGTTTATCCATTTAATGTTTCTTGGCCTTTTGCTGTGCACCTTATTGGCTGTAAAGTGTGTCCCTTGGTTTGTACAGTATCTTTTGTTCCAGTCTCTTAATGGTATTTTTGGCATTTGCATCTGTCACAGGATATGCAAAGCCCAATCTAGAGTGATATCTATTCCTGTGAGGATCCATTTGTAGTTACCTGTTGCCACCAGTGTCATTGATCCAATATAACCAACTTGCTTGCCATCTATGTGTAGGGCCTTCTCCATAGCCATCTGTAACTACTGTCTTTCTTGCTGGCAGACAGAGCAGTCTTTATTGGCATTTTATACCTCAGAGGGTACTTGTATGATTTGTCTAGATTTAAGCTCATCTCTGCGTAGCTGCAATATCCCCATGTCTGTTCATTTCATGAACCCAGTTGGCTACCTCAAGTGAATGTACCAACAGATTCACTAGCTGATTCCAATCACTTTCCAGTGAAGGAAGGGGGTTCTTCTAATGGACATCGACATGCCCTACTCTAATGTACCCTCTAAATTCCCAGAGTACTTTTCATAGGTCCATGGCCCACACAAGTGTCCACTTAATAGTCCAGTTTTCCATTGCCCATTTGCCTGACCCTATAGCCAGGCCATTGGCTACTGCTCATAAATCAGAAAAATTCAAACATTGGCTCCCGCCATTGCCCAATTCTTATATCATGTCTGTGAAGACAGCATGCAGTTCAGCTCATTGAGCTAACCTCTTCTTACCTTATTCAATCAGGATCTCTCCATCTACTGGTCTTAATGCAGCAGCTTTTCATATCAGATGTGGTCCATGTAACCTGGAATTGCCATCTGTGAACCAAGTAGCCTTCTGATGGTCTGCAGAAAGTTGTTCATAGGTACTGTCCATGTAGCAGAGGACTGTGGCAGCTTTTCAGGTGATTCCAGAGTAGGACCTATGGGAAAAGAGACTACTTACTTTTGGATACAGTGGGTGCCTTCCCGCATTCTCCCAGTATCTTGTTCTTCTATGAGCCATTTTCCATTTTATTATGGAACTGTTTTGGGTACCACCTTCTTTGTTAGGGTGTTTCTCTGACATCACCCAAGACATTTTGGTATTTGAGGTCTCATGATTTTATATTCTCTGTCATTGAAGCATTCTCAACCAACACCCAATGGCAAGTGAGTAAATTACCTTTCAAATGGTATCATGCTGCAGTATCTGGAAACTTTCTAGTCCAGAATCCCGGGAGTCACTGTAGAGTGGCATTCTCAGATTTTTACCATAAGCTCCAGTCTGCATAAAGTGTGGCAAATACCTCCAAAATCATGTCTGAATGTGGATCATAAGAGCTTAAAGGCAAGGAGAGTGAGACCACTTTCTGTAATTCAGACATAGCCTGCAGTTGCTCTGGTCTCCATTTGAACACAGTTCCCTTCCAAGTGGTTTTATGGATATGAGCCAGCAGTATTCCCAGATGTGGAATATGCAGTCCAAATAGACCAACCAAATGTTGGACCTCCTGCTTAGTCTGGAAGATAGGTAGTGACAGCACCTTATTCTTGGCTCACGGTTTTGGAGGCTGACAAGTCCCAAACCATGGTTCGTGCTTCAGGCTAGAGACTTCTCCTGACTCACAAGGTTGCAGGAACTGATGAATCCAAATAAGCAGGACATGCAACAGGCTGCTGGCTCACAAGGCTGTGGAAGCTGCCCAGTTAGGTCAGATAATAAATAGGCTTATGGCTCAGATTCCAAGTACCAGAGGTCAGATGATGACAAGCCAGATGCAGGATTCAGAGCAAGAAGAACATTGCCAGAGCATTCATATATTTTGCATGCAAGGTGTCCTCAAGGACATTCATTACTCTTGAGCAAGGTGGTACAAGGGTGTGACTTAATAATGGTAGTAGGGTTGGCGACTGGGATAAGGGTGTGGTGACTGGGGTAAGTTGTCCACTATATTATCAAGGCAGGATTAGGGTGGAATGTATCACCACCTTACTAGACAACTTCCTTCTAAATGGGATCATAACAATAGGCATATGAATTACAGCGTAGGCTAAGGATTACAGCACAACACAGAATGGAGGATAATTAGATCACATCATTACATAACTACCAAACAACTGAAAATCATGGCCCGGCCAAGTTGACACCTGAGCTTACTCATCACAGGTTCCGTATACCTTATTTGCATAGTCCCACCCAATCATTGTATGGGAGTCACAAAGTATAACTAGAAGGGCCATATTAAGTAATCACTGCACAACAGTGTGAGTGGCTGTATCATTTTACATTATCACTATCATTGTTTGAGTGATCTAGTTTCTCAGCATCCTCACCAGCATTTGTTATTGTCACTGTTTTTTACTTTAGCTACTTAAAAGCCAGATACTCACTAGGAGCTCTGGTGTTATGGTGATTAAAAGCACTGGGCTGGTAACCAAAAGTTCAGCAGTTTGAACCCACCAGCCGAGCCGCTCTGCAGAAGAAAGATAAGGTAGTCTGCCTCCATAAAGATTTATAGCCTTGGAAACCCTGTAGGGTGGTTTTACTCTGCCCTAAGGAGCTCTGGTAGCATAGTGCCTAAGACATTTGACTGCTAACCAGAAGGCTGGTAGTTCAAACCCACCAGCCACTACTTGGAAGGAAGGTTGGGTAATCTACTTCCATAGTGCTACTGCCTTGGAAATGCAAGGAGGGATCGCTATGAGTCAGATTCAACTGAGGGGTCGCTATGAGTCAGATTCGACTCGATGTCATTGAGTTTGGTTTGGTTTGGAAAGTGTCACTGTGAGTTATAATCAACTTGATGGCAGGGATTTGGATTTTTTTCTTTTTTTAAAGTATTCACTGATTAGCATGTTTTTAAGAAGATCACAATTAATAGTACCTTGATCTCTCTTCTGTAAACTCATTGTTTTAAAATTATTTTTATATTTTTAAACCAGAATGAGGCTTTCCTCTGCAATTCAATGGATTCCATTTGCTCCTCCCTTTGCAAAGGATGGCCTGATGTAAATGTCCAAATTTCTACTTAAAGATTTTGTTACTTGGAGTACATGAATCTTTGCTGAAACAGAATGGTCATGATTTTCCATATTCCACATAAACTTTTCTTTTTCAAAATCTCAATCTTTAGTTATTTTTTTTTATTAAGAGATTTTTGGAACTGTGCATTTGCCATGGGGCAGGACTACTTTGTATATATTTTTTATACTTAAAAATATTTTACATTTTGTTTTATACTTAAAACAGCCATTTTAGTTGTATTTAGCAGTTGGAGTTGTTTGGATTATAGTGGCCATGTGGAGCTGGGCTGGCAGCAGACATTTGGCACTTCAGGTGTGTGTGTCCCAAGTGGTGTTATCCTGCTTTATTTCATAGATGATTTATCTCAGCTAGTGTGAGAAGCTGGTCACATTGTATGCCTTTACCTGACACGAGAAAAGCATAATTCATGTGCAATTAGGAGTGGAATCTATAAAGTAGATTGCATGTTCCCAGTGGATAAGGTGTGATAATGCATTTTTTTTTTTCCAGATTCCCTTGGCTTTACATTCCTAGAAGTATATTTTAAAATTCAAAAACTCAAAAAAACTCACTGCCGGTGAGTCGGATCCGACTCATAGCAACCCCTCCTTGGGTTTCTGAGGTGATATCACTACAGAAGTAGATTGCCCAACCTTCCTTCTGAGGAGTGGCTGGTGGGTTTGAACCACCAGGCTTCTGATTAGTAGTCAAATGCCTTAGGTACTACACCACCAGAGCTCCCATTTTTAAATTACTAAATAAAAATACCTGTTTTGTGATTGTTACAGATAAGTTATTCATCTTTATCCCTTTCGTATTTTTTTTTTCAGGATGTGTCTGTTAAACAGCTTTCAAATGACGTATTTGTTTTATTTTGTATGTTAACAGGTAACAGTTAAAGGATTTGAACCTTTAATTCAATTTGTCTACACTGCTAAACTGATTTTAAGTAAGGACAATGTGGATGAAGTGCGCAAGTGTGTGGAATTTTTAGGTGTTCATAATATTGAGGAATCCTGCTTTCACTTTTTCAAATATAAGTGTTTGGATTCCAATGTAGACCAGCAAGAATTCCCAAGAAAAAAATGCTTCCCATCACACTGTCAGAAAACAGACTTTAAATTTTCACTTTTGGACCAGAAGGATCTAGAAGTTGATGAAGTGGAAAAATTTCTGGAAAATGAGAATGTTCAGACTCCTCATTCTAAACTCAGCCAGTATCAAGGGAATTCAAAAGCATCACCTCCTCTACAAGACAGTGCCAGTCAAACATGTGAGTCCATGTGCTTAGAAAAGGATGCTGCTCTGGCTTTGCCATCTTTGTGCCCTAAATACAGAAAATTCCAAAAAGCATTTGGAACTGACAGAGTCCATACTGGGGACTCTATTGTCAAAGACAATCAGGCTTCCTCTGTTCAGCCAAATGAGACATCTGAAAATGAATGTCTAGGAGGAGTCCAGGATTGTGCAGATTTACAGGTGATTTTAAAATGTGAAGAAAGTAAAACACCAGCAGAACGTGAAGAAACAAAGAAGAAAGATCTTACTTCTGAGTGTCCAACAGTAAAAGCAGAAGTGACTCCTTTCCCTCATAATTCTTCCACAGACCCTCATGGACTCTATTCTTTGTCTCTTTTACACACATATGACCAATATGGTGACTTGAATTTTGCTAGTATGCAGAACACAGCAGTGTTAACAGAAAAGCCTTTATCATGTACAGATGTCCAAGAAGAGAAGACATTTAGTGGAAGTCAGGATTTACATTTGAAATCTGACGCTGGTCCCAGGGAAGATAGTAGCCTTGCCTCTAGTGATCGGAGTAGTGTGGAACGAGAGGTGGCAGAACATCTTGCAAAAGGCTTCTGGAGTGACATTTGCAGCACAGACTCTCCTTGCCAAATGCAGTTATCACCTGCTGTAGCCAAAGATGTTCCAGAACAGATCTACTCACAGAAACGGTTTGAGTGTCCCTGGTTGGGTATCAGGATCAGTGAGAGCCCAGAACCAGGTCAGAGGACTTTTACAACGTTAAGGTCTGTCAACTGCCCTTTTATAAGTACTCTAAGTACTGAAGGATGTTCAAGCAGTTTGGAAATTGGAAGTGATGATTATGTTCCAGAACCGCAGCAGGAACCTTGTCCGTATGCTTGTGTAATTAGCTTGGGGGATGACTCTGAGACGGATACAGAAGGAGACAGTGAATCCTTTTCAGCCAGAGAACAGGAATGTGAGGTAAGGGGAAAATGAGTATATTGTTAATTCATCGTTTTAATCACCACTATTACTCTGTGTCAGCCCTTGTTTATACCAGTAGAGATAGGAGCAAGCTCAGGGAGGGAGAAGGAAACTCATACACAGTTAACTGTAAAATTGTGTGTTAAATATCAACATAGTGAGAATGAAGTTTGAAGGACTTCTTTGTTCATATATTTAAGGTGGTTGTTGGTGGGTGCTATCAAGTCAGTTCTGACTCATAGCGACCCTGTGTACAACAGAATGAAACACTGCCCAGCCCTGAGCCACGCTCATAGTAACTTGTTACTAAGTTTGTACCCATTGTTAAAACATCTTTTGTGCCACTGTGTCAGTACATCTTGTTGAGCGTCTTCCTCTTTTTTCGCTGACCCACTATTTTACCAAGCATATTTAAGGTCGGTGTATTTGTATTATGGAGTAGATTCATATATTGGCTGTATAATTATTTAAATGAGATGCCTTGTCTCAAGAGGAAAAAGAAAAATGATTCTGTGATAAGATACCTGGGATAAGTGACTTCACATTGACATTTTCTTGGACCTGGTTTTCATGACCATTAATTTTTATATTTTGGCCATTTTAACTATTAGTTTAATGAATGTCTTAATAATTTAGCATGAGTTAAATGTATTTGTGTACGATAATACTATTGTTCTTTGTTGCTGTTGAATTGATTCTGACTCATGGCAACTGCATGTGTTAACAGAGGAGAACTGCTCCACAGGATTTTCTTGGCTTTAATCTTAATGGAAGCAAATCACCAGACCTTTTCTTCCTCATTACTGCTGGGAATATATATTTTTTATTACTAATAAAAGTACCATAAGGTAGTCTGGTAGCAGTGTTGTTAAAGCATTGGGCCATTAACCAAAAGGTCAGTGGCTCAAACCCACCAGCTGCTCCGTGGGAGAAAGATAAGATGGCCTGTGGGGGCAGTTCTCTGTCCTATAGGTCACTGTGAGTTGGAATCGGCTGTGGATTTTAATGAAAATACCTGTTTTGTACTTACCACAAATAAGTTATTCATATTTATCCCTTTTCTACTTCTCTTGGATTTGTCTATTAGACAGCTTTCGCATCATGTATTTATTGTTTTTATTTTGTATATTAGCAAGTTATAGTAAAAGGATTTGAACCTTTAATTCAATTTGTGTATACTGCTAAACTGCTTTTAAGTAAGGGTTTGAACCTCCAGCCTTTAGGCTTGTAATCAAGCACAAACCGTTTGTGCCACCTGGGTACATTGGTAATCATACTACTCATACCAAATGTGATCTGTGCATTCTGTGTACAAAAGTTTGTATTGTAAAGTACTGAATAGTTAGTGGTTCAGAACCACCCAGAGGCAACTTGGAAGTAGTACCTGGCAATCTGCTTATGAAAGGTCACAGCCTTGAAAATCCCATTGAGCAGTTCTACTGTGCACACATGGAGTTGCCGTGATTTAGAACCAACTCAATGACAACTAACAACAACAAAATTCTTTAGCATTTACTTTGATTTTTATAGATGTTAGATATTATATGTTTGAAAGAGGGTATTTTTTTTCTTGGCTTGGGAAAGAGGTGATTTGTGATTTAAGTAGGAATACGTATTCATGAGTTATATTTATAACATTTTTAAATGCAGTGTTTGGTATTATAAAAGTGTTGAAAGTATAACTTTTGAAAATATTTTGTGTAACTAATTTCTACAAGCTTGTAAGACAAGCTGAGTAGGTTGTCAGACTGACAAATGTTACATTTGTATTTTTGATAATTAATATAACTGAACTGTCTCACAATTTTGTTTTTTATTACTTTATTTTAATTGGGATATGGGTGAAAATTTACAGAGAAAATTGGTTTTCCATTCAACAGTTCATACACATTTTGTTTTATTACATTCTTTGTCACAGTTTAGCAGCATACTTCCCACTTCCTCCCTGTATTTACCATTTCCCTTCATCCTTTTCTCCTATCCCTTCCTGAGTTCTAAGCTTTATCCACAGGCAAATGCTGCCATTTTGATCTCCTGTATGGTTGATTGTTCTAATGGGTGTGTACCTCCCTGGTGTTATTGTCTATTGTTTGGCTAAATATTGAGCCACAGAAGTGAGTTCAGTTTGGTTCCCCCACTCTCTGTCAGACCAGTAAGCCTGGTCTTTTTATGAGTTTGAGTTTTGTTCTACATTTTTCTCTCACAATTTTCTTGAAAAAAAAAAATTGTTAAAAAAAATTGTGATATACTTTTACCAATTTGAAGTATGTTGAAAATGACTTTACAGAAATCATAAGGTTTTTAATAAAGCTTTTTTTGTCCATTGGTAATGAAGGTATACATAGCTACTATTTTCCTGAAAGAAAAATAAATTTTCTAAACTGCCTTAGAAATTACTAGCACAGTCATATGAATATCAGTGCTGCACAGTAGTATCATTCAAAAAATAAAATAGATTTTTTTGTTATTTTTGGAACAAAAACAACACTTTAGAAAGAAGTTAAAGGTTTTTGTGGCTTATTAGCATGTTCTATTTAAATAACACTTAATTTCTGTCTTTTGATTTTAAATCCATTAATATTTATGTTAGTAGTGTTTAACTTACTGAAAAAAGAAATTTACTTCTCAATTTATTTATCCTCTGAACTCTCTGTAATGTAGTCTACTGGTAGAAATGAAATTATTAACCTTTATTATACGAGATTTTATTTTCTCTCTTTTAAATAAAGTTCTAGGAAACCTAGATTTATATTTTCATCCTCCTGGATTTAAGTATAACAACAAAATATAGCCATAGTTACTAATGTTTATTTTACATTTTAGGTAAAACTGCCATTCAATGAACAACGAATAATTTCACTCTCTCGAAATGATTTTCAATCATTGTTGAAAATGCACAAGCTGACTCCAGAACAACTGGATTGTATCCATGATATTCGAAGAAGAAGTAAAAACAGAATTGCTGCACAGCGCTGTCGCAAGAGAAAACTTGACTGTATACAAAATCTTGAATCAGAAATTGAGAAACTGGTAAATGTAGCAAGTTTCTTACTATTATTATTTAAATTGCACTAGGTTCATTTGCTCCTTCTTTCCTTGCCCCCCTCTTTTCCTCCCTTCATTCTTTCTACCCTTCTTTTCCTCTTTCTCTCTCTTCTTTTTTGTTTGTATAGGAGATAGCTGTTTAAATTCCTGAGTAACATGTATTATTCAGTTATACATTAATTTTAAAGTGTACCAGTTACCATTAAATGATGGCATAAAATATGGCATTTTCAGAATGCTTAAGAAATAAAAACTGTGAGGATTTTCACAGAGTATTTTACTTAAGCATTCTACATAATTAGCATGATATAGTAGAATATCTAAGTTGAGAACTATTCCTGGGTGTTTGTTTTTTAAAAAAATAATTTCCAAATTAAGAATAATCCATAGGAGAAAATACCTGGTGATCTGCTCCTGTAAAGATTACAGCCTAGAAAACCCTATGGGGAAGTTCTACTCTGTCCTGTAGGGTCACAGTGAATCAGAATTGACATCGAAGTCTGCTTATGGGGAAGTTCTACTCTGTCCTGTAGGGTCACAGTGAATCAGAATTGACATTGAAGTCTGCTTGTTAGTGGTTGAGTAAACACAGCAACAACAACAACAAAACAAACCTACTGCCCTCAAGTCAATTCTGACTCATAGCGACCCTGTTGGGTTTCGAAGGCTGTAATCTACAGAAGTAGATTTGACTCATTTTCCTCCTGCAGAGCTACTGATGGATTTGAACCACTGAGCTTCTGGTTAGCAGCCATATGCCTTACCTGCTATGCCACCAAAGTTCCTCAGTGGTTGAGTTAAAGTAAAAGAAATTATAAAGGATTTTAATCTCTTTGTGGTATGTTTGGTATCTATAAAAGCTAATGTTTTACTTTTTTTAAGAACTGTAGACATGAATAATTTGTTTAGGTTGATACCTAAAAGGCCAAAAAACCCGGATCTGTCATCTAAGGGAAAATTGCATAAAGTGATATGAATATTACAGGTTTAGATTGTATAAAATCCTAAGTGAGACAAGTCCTTTTTTATTGAATCTTATTTTCTTTTCTACCATCAAGTATAAATGAATTGAAAATGCATTAATGTGCTCCTATCTTTCCCTTTGTCCCTAGTGGTTGGTGGAAGGAAGTATTATATGAAAGAAAGCAACTGTGATAATGCAGGCCAACTAAAGCTACACAGATGGTTAGATTGTAGAAAGCAATAGCTAAAAGTAGTAAAAAATATTTCTTGAGTATTCAGTTTTGTGTCTTTGTTAGTTATAGGTGAAAATTTAAAATTGTAATTGTATCAAGTCTTTAAGCATAAATATTCTAGCAGTGAAAGGTAATTGAACAGCAAAAATAAAAAAAAAAAGATTTTGCCATTATATGCCTTTTAAGAAAAGTTGAAAATAAAAATGTAAGATAAATCATGCATATATCATATGAAAAGGTGATGAAGAAATATAACTATTTAGAAACATGAACTATAACTATGAAAAAATAAAGAGAAATTAGATGTTTTACAAATAATGGGATGAGAAATACAAAACCTATATATATATTGCTAAATGATTAAAATTGTTAGGATTGAAGAAGAAAAGTTACAAATTCAGAAATACATAGTACTTTTGAGGTGTGTGTCAGTCCATATCTTTAAGCACTAGTATTCTCTTATTATCCAACTTTGAATTAAATATTTATCTACTTTTGACAGAGTATATAGCAGGCTTGGTAAGTCAGGCATCATTTTGAGCTTTAGTTAATAACTAAATGCCAAAACAGCTCTGAACAGTAACTAAATGCTAAAAAAGGCTTCTTAGAGAGTTGGGTTGTGTGGAGCTATTTTTTT